AAATTACAAACATATGTGATATGGTTCAGGACTGAAAGAAATGTCTATTTTTGTCAAATTATTCTAGATTTGACACTCATTTAGGATAGATAAATATAAAACAGTGAATCTATGAAAAACCTGTGATCAACCTATGTGTATTTTTAACTTACGTGATGCAAGTGGTGCTGTCTTTGGGAGCACATCCTTGTAATGCAGGGAACTGAATCCCTCTGTCACAGACTAGCCTGTGTCTTCCTAGGTGTTGTTCACTCACTGATTGCACAGCTGCAATGTAATTAAAATGTTTGTTTACCTGTAAAAGAGGTGAAAGCTCAACATTGGTGTTTGTATACATACATTGTATTATCAAAGAAGTTAGGTGGCTTTTACAAATGATTTTCCAAGCACTGTTAAAACTATTTAAAGCAACTTTTAACTCTATTAAGTGGCTTTTGGAAGGGGTGTTAAAAATATCCCATAATGAGATACCTGTGAGTCTCCTCCTTACACAGAAATAGACAGACATATGAGTAAGACACGGCAAGTTTGACTAAGTACATGGCATGGATTTAATTGCTGTGCTGCTCCCTGTGTCCCTGCCATGCAGGAGCAGGGATTAGCATTATGTGGGAACTGGAATACAGGGAAGTCCATGGGGCATCCCTGTGCCTGTCTGCTCAGGGCCCAGCAACCACCACCCAGCTTGTTGCACTGAATTAAGTCTAGAAACGTTCTGTGAAATAAATTGTAATTTTCTGAGCAAGATAAATTACTCTTAGGAGCCATCTGCCTTTACCCTTTTAAAAAAATGTCTCTTTAAATGTAAATTTAGCTTTCCAACAGAGACAGTATCACCATGGTAACAAACGCAAGAAAAATAAATGTCTCTTAGAGGAAAACCACTTTTTATTTTGTGTAAACATATTCCATATAAAATAAATTATGCAGCTATGGAATTATTGTATATACAATCTCAGACAGTAAAAAAGAGTATAAGTCTTTTCCTGGAATGGTTCTCTGAGCTAGTACCAAACATAATTGCTTGCAGTAAAGAAATGTGTTGTATACTTAATTTCACATGCTGTGAACTGGAGCTCTCATCTTTCAGTTTGCTCTAAATGGACTGGAATGCTACAAACTTCAGTGGAGCGTCAGGCAGGCAGCAGGAGTTTACAGAACTGGAGCCTCAAATGTAATCTCTGCCAGGTAATTTATATTACAAGTGCTCTGCTCGGTGAATTTCCTCTGCCCAGTCTGCCACTGGAGAGGTTTGTTATTCAGAGAGCACAGAAGCAGTGGTTGGGGTTTCTCCTTTCGTTGAATGAAAGGAAGAATGCTTTCAGGTTAGGCCTGTTTCAAAAATAAGATTGATGAGTGGTGCACTTTAAATTGTTCACAAACAAATCCTCTCTACCTCTCCCTGCATCAGTAACCCCCTACAAAGGTCAGTGTGAGGAGACACCCAAGATAGGCAGTATCATTGTTTGCAAGAACTTTTGCATGGTTAAAAATAATTTCTTTTTATGTTGTCTGCTTTCTCATTTCAGGCTTCAAATTTCACAGTATACAACTATAACAACTGCTTTCAAACACTGTTGAAAGGTCCCACAATTATTTATTCACCCTCTTTCTTTCCCTCCTTTTGGCTGTGTGTGGTGTGTTTGAAGGCTGCAGAGGAGCAAAGATGCTCATGGCTGGGTTTCAGTGGTGGGAGAGGGTGAGGAATTCTGGTGCTTGCCTGTGGAACAGAAACCATTCTGCATTTACCTGGCAGCTCTCATCTGAATAAGACAGTAACTTGCACAGATAAAGCTCTTTCTTCTTTCTGTATGGCAGGCAGGGAAACTGTAGTATCTGCACTTAAAGATATGTTAAAGAAGTGATTTCTTCCAGAGATTGTGACACTGACTTTGGCATGTCATTTGCTATGAGAGGCAGCAGGAATGGTGCTGAAACTGTAATCTGCTCTTTTCCTACCTTAGCTCTGAGTGGAATGTTCAGAGGAATCTACATCTATCACTTTGAACATTGCTCTGTAACACTTGAAATCAAAATAGTAAAATGAAATGTTTTCAGTGGTGGCTTGGGCAGAACTTCATACAACCTAGTCTTCTGAGAGAAGATAAAGCAGTCAGTTTCAGGGAAATATTGTCCTTTTATGTGTGCAAACAGTTCTGCGTGAAGTGTAAAACTAATATGCAGAGATGGATTGCAATGGATTATCTAAGGTATCAGGGAGCAATCAGCTTCTCCTGCATGTCTCAGCCTGCCAGGAGAACCTGGACTGCGTTACACTGTGGATGGTGCTCCTGGCTGTAGGGCCTTGGGCAGCAGCTCGTAAAAAAGATGTGTAAGGGAAGAAACAAAAGTAACACGGCAGACAAGCACTAATCCCTCCACCTGTATATTCCTGGTCATGTGCAGTTTTGGATTAACTGCAAGGAGCGATCTGTGTGGCCCACCTAAGGACGTGACCTTAAACAGTCTTTGGGTCTTTGAGTCAGCCAGCACTGAGGAGCAGCGCTTGAGGGGGTGCACCCCGCTCAGCAGGCAGGGCTCGGCGGTGTGCCCGGGGCACAGCAGCCTCGCCCAGCCCCTCCAGCCCCCGAGCTGCTCCGGGCCAGCCTGAGGTGACCGCACAACGCCACACGGATGTCTTGGCTTAGCAAACAGCCCACAGCACTGCGAGCGCACGGGCTAGGGGTGAGCATCCCACCCCTCTCATTGCTAGAGCTGGTCACTGTGTTTCAAACAGGCGGTCAGAGGGGAGAAAGGTGCCTTACTGCAATCTTAACGACTTCTATCTGTTCCTCTCTCCTCAAGGCTGTGGGGGGCTAGGATGGACGCCACTGCTGCTCGGGCAGCTCCTGGATGAAGAGGCAGGAGCAGACAGGCACCTTCCGCAGGCCGCCGGCCCCGCTCCCCTCACAGCCCCCGCTCTCGCGCGCAGTCCCAGCGCGCAGGCGCGCAGCCCCCGAGCCAATGGGGCGGGCGGGGCGGGGCGCGGCAGCGCTGCGGCCATTGCGGCCCGGCCGGCTGAGGGGACGCGTCGCTGCCGCCGCCGCCGCCGCGATGGTGTCCTGGATGATCTCCCGAGCGGTCGTGTGAGTGCCGGGCTGCGGCTGCAGCTGATTTCCCGGGGCGGGGATGGTCCCGATGAGCGGCGGGCGAGGGGCGGCCTCCCTTTTCTCCTTCCCCCAGCCTCCCGAGGCGGGTGCTGTGCGCTGCCCGCTCCCCTCGGGGATCGTGTGCCTCGGAGTCCTGGTGCTCCCCGAAACTCCGCAGGAGCGGAGCTGTGGTTACCCCGCGTGTGTCCTGCCCTTGGTGCACCTTTCCCTGCCAACTCGCGCTGCTTGTGCCAGTCACGCACAGATTGCAACCGTTGCTTTAAATTGATCCAAAGTAACCTATAAAACCTCGTAACTTTCCTTTTTTCACTTGTAGCAGAGTTGAGAGGGCTAGAAGGATGCTTGCGGGTGTGAGATGGCGGTCTGTGCTGAGTGTAGCTTATCAGCTGAAGAGATAGATTGGCAGTGTTGTTGTGTACTGCGCCTCATAAACTGGAGTTTTTGGAAGCCAAAGAGGAAACTTTATTAGGCGAGAAGCTTCATGTTATATCTTGTGTAAGTTCTGTTTGAGAAAGAGTAAACTGCAGTGACACCTCTGATTTCTTTCATCAGCGTTGTACTGTTCCTTCCTGAAACTGATGAGTTATTGTGTTATTTGAATTATAGTCCCTCGTAAAGGCTGAGTAATATTTGGGGAGCAGAGTCTTCCTCATGCTCCTCTCTGGATAGCTCTCTGGGGTCCCCAGTGCTTATTGGGTCGTTTGAGCTGAGATTTGCTGTGTGTGAGATTTTGCCAGGCACATGAAGTGAATCTGCTCACAAAGCAGTCCAGCAAACATCCCAATTAGCATAAAGTGTGTAGCAGGAGTGTGTGACCCACAGCGGGACATAATAGGATTGCCCTGTTTTGTTGGTGACAGATATCCCCCTTAAGCTGTCTGGTGTAATTTCATCTGCACACTTTGTCAGGTTTTCTCACACTTTCTCATACTGCCACGTATATTTTGCTGCTGTAATCCAACCACCTAGATAAGCAGCAGTCCTTCTCCTTCTTCCTGCCGTCCCTGAGACTTGTCACATAATTGCAACTTGCAGAGTGGAACATCACGTTCCAGAAGTGGCAGAGGACGAGAGAGGTTTGGAGGAGAGTCTGTGGGAGGAATTGCTGTTGGTGCACTTTGCCAGTGTGGTCTTCCCAGAGGCTTTACACGGTGCTATAGGCAAGAGGCATATTCTTGCTTTCTGTACATCAGATGGAGCTGCTTAACCTGTTTCTGCTTTGTTACATAACAGCACCAACCAGAGAATTCTTCTTTTCACTATTTAGACTGTGTTGGTTTCAAGGGAAATAGCAGCAATGTACATTAATTTCTGATGACCAAGCTCTTGTGTAGTTAGTTGGGTTATTTCCCCCCTGAATTTCTAAGGGTTGTATTTGCATAAATTAAAATCCTCTATGAGCTTAACCCAATAGCACAGGGAACGAAGAGAGCAGCTACTGTTCTCCACAGGTTTATTGCAAAAGGCAGTAAAGGATAATGTACTGTGCAGTTCTGTGGAGTTTGGTTTCCTTGTTGCCACTGGTCACTCATCTAATGCGTGCCCTAATTATTTTTGCTAAAAAGGGAGTCCTGAATATTATTTATAAATCCTTCCCACCTTCTTGTGTCCTTGTTTCCTAGATGTGGGATTTAAATAGATTGCCAGCATTCAATTTCTCAGGAAGGTGAATGTGTTCAATGAGAACTTGGACAGCTTTGAGATTATTGTTTAACTTTGCTAATAAAGCAAAATTCTTGTGAAAACAGAAGGTGAGAAGTAGCACAGAAGTAGATGTGGTGTGACATGAGAGGTCTTAATTTCAGTGGTCTTGAGAATGTCCTTCTTGTCCTGTTTTCTCAGCGTCCATTATCTTCCTTTTTTGATCTGTTTTCCCCTGTCTCTTCACAGGTGTACCTATTTCAGTGACTTTGGGTCTCTGAATTGTGTGTTTGGAGTTTGGAAGGTGTGTCCTATCTTTCCCCTAGAAACCCTAAGAAACAGATTTTTAAATACTGTGTAGCTGTGCAGACCTGAGGCTCTTTCTTGTGCAGCATTTGGATTCTGGTGTGGTGGCTTCCTGGTGCATGGGTCCACAGCAGCCTGTCATCTTTGCTGTGATGGAAAGGAGCAGCAGTGTTTTGTCTGTGGCAGAGTTCTCCACTCCTCACTGACCTCCTATGTTTCAGGGCCAAAAGAGCAGCAAAATATGAATTTGTAGGTGAGTCGCAGTGCCCTCTGCTGACTTCTGGCGTGGTGGGCTTGTCCTGACATGTGTGTCCCAAGCAAACTGCCTTCTAATTCAATTTGAGAGTTTGCAATTTGGAATTCATTAACTCCATTAAAATGCTTTGGTTAACGCTTTAAGGAACTAGGGAATGGAACTAGTAGGGAATTTGAATTCTTAATTGCATGTGAATTGTCTTGAGGAGTCAGGAAACAGGGAGTGGTTCAAATTCACTGTTCCACATAATAATGTCCAGCAGAACTTTGTTTTCATGAAATCTTTTCCCTTTGCTCTATCAATGCTACTATTCTTAAGTATTTAAAATTGTGGAATACTTTGTACTAATTGCATGTCTTTATGTCGAGAGGACTTGAAGTGCACAATTAAAGCATCTTTCCATTTTCAAATTCTATGTCAATTGGGTGCTGTTGTAGTAAGTATAGCTCATTATTATTTCTAAAACACTGGCTGTTGCAACAATTTTTTGAATGTTTACTACAGGGATTTTTCCTTTTTTCATGTAACAAAAACAACAAAAAGATAATTATTTCATTCAGAATCTCAGAAAACTTCTCAGAGTGGCACATCTTGTTCTTAGTCTTTAATGGTGTAAATAATTTTTTTTAATTTGTGACTGCCCATCTTGTTAACTTCAAATAGAGCTTGTGCCTGACTTTTCATCTGCTTGGATTGCTCATTCTTCTCATTTGTAAGGTCTGAGTGATTGTGTACACATCAGTTGCCGAGACAGTATTTAATAGTAAACACACTGAATACTTGTCAGTCACAGCCTGGTATGGATGAGATCAGACCATCCTCTTGTGCCAAGCAAAGATGTGAAAGCATCCTAAATACCAAGTAGATGGCCATTTTGTTCTTGCAATCTGTTAAAGCAGACTGTCTGCTGTAATCTGTTAACTTTTTTCCCTCCTCACTTAAAAATGAAAGTTCCCCCATCTGTGTTGCTTTGCAGCACACTCTCTCCCTTCATGTTTAAGTACGTGGTTTGTTTCCAGTGAAGTAGGTCAGCATCCATGGATGTTGGAAGGAAAAGTTGCAGTGCTCCACAGAAGGATGTATTTGTCTTGGGTACTAGCAGTTACCTTTCTGTTTGCTTGTATTTATAATGTCTGTCTTCCCCACCCCAGTTTTAAAGCCTTGCAAATATTCCTTGAATCTGATATTAGATTATAACTAAATGCTTAAAGCTGGACAAAGACTGTCTGGGGGACACAGGAGGTGACCTGGAGCTGGGTAGTAGTGTTAGTCTCTTTCAGCTTTACAGATTTCAGCTTTACAGTCTTCTTTGCTGCTTTACAGATTGGAGCTGTTTCTTTAATGGTAGTTTCCAAGGCATTATCTTACTCTACTTTTGTTGCTTCTGTTGTTCTACATTTCCAGATGTGCAGCTGCCCCTAGAATTACTGCATATCTGAGAATGGGTGGCTGAAGCCATAGCTTCTGTGTTGATTGAATTGCTGTCAGGAATACCTGGCTTAGCATGTAGATCATATTTTATGTAACTGTGTATGCTTTGACTGTAAACCTAGTTCGTGTCCTGCTCTTGGAATACAATTATTTTTTTTAAATTAAAAGCATAAAGTGAAAAATATTTACCCTCTTGTTTGCTAATCAACATGCTGTCAAACATGTGTTGAAGTGAACACAGCTCATGGGATGGAATTGAGTAACAATAACACCATGTGTGTGGAAGGCATAGCCTGATCTTCAAACAGGCCATTTGTGGAGAGGTTCTTTGACTGTTTGTACCTGCTCTCTGGCACAATGGTTGCAGCTGAAGTGTGAAGGATGTTGGATGCTGAATTTCTGATGGTATTCTTCAGTTTAAAGGCCTATAAATTGCTGCTGCACCTGTGGGGAAAAAGGAGTTGCTGTCATAGCGTGAGTGAGATGTGCTGCAATGTCTGTCTCATCGCAGAACTGGAATGAATCAGTGGCTGTGTATCAGTTATCCTTGGCATTTCATGCTGAATACATCCACAGCCCTTTTGCTGGGAGGGGCTATCCTGTCCTTCATCCTCTCCTCGCTCACTTTCCACATGATCCAAACTCTGTGACCACTGTATGAGTCTGATGGTTTTGTCAACTAGAATGAAAATTAGTGTTGATAGAAGTTAATCTTTTGTTAGTTGCAATGAGGTGCACCAGCTCACACTGCTGTTGTGTAGTTGCTAGGTAAGTGCTGTGTTGAGAATGAAAGGTTGCACGACAAAACCAGCATTATTTTAGGCTTTAAAGCATGCTCTGAGAATACATTCTTTGCTTTCACATTGCTGCTTATTCTTTCTTCTTATGAATCTAGTTCCAGTAATAACAGTGCAGCTGCTCTAATCAAACAAGGTGTCAGATTTTTTAAAGGGTTTTCAGTTTCATGGGTTGAAATCTGTAAGCATATGTAAGTCTAGGGATTAAGTGTATTGTCCTGACTGTGTGAAAGTTTAAAATCATTTACATAATTAAGCAGTGAAATCATCAGAACTCTTCTCTCCAATAGTTCAACTTCTCAGTGAGGTAATCCTAATATATACAATGAGAAGTCTCTGCTCACTTGTATATGACTTGTAACACCCCTTGAGCTAGTACAATGCAAAATTTCTCTCTCTGACAACTTGTAAGGAAGAAGTGTCCCTCCTGCTTGTCTGGCACACCTTTCCTTAAATCAGCCCTTGCTCTGCAGCCTGGCTGCCCCGTTCTGTGCCATGTTTGCAGGATGGTGAGAGTGCAGAGCGCGTGCTCAGCGTGCCCAGCCTGCGGCAGGCGGCCGGGTGAAGCTTGCTCCAAACAGATGGAGCTCGTCTGGAGGTGTCCTGTGGAGTCTGGCATCCTTACTTCATGCTCTTGGCATGTGCTATGTTACAAAATGTGCTGAGCCCCACATGTGTGTCCTGTGCCTTAGAGATAAAGAAATACCAAGAACTGCATGATCTGGCACAAAAGGATGTTTTTAATTAAAACAAACAACTCCTCTCTTGCAGTGTTCCACAAACCAATGTCTGCTTTGGGCTAGCACGTTTAGGCTATTGAGCACTTCTGCAGCCTGGACAGAATGGCTTATCTTTCCTGGGTTTGTACATAGAGGCAGCTCCCTATATGCTTGTGTAAGGCTGAGGAAGATCCTGAGCCAAGTTCTGATTTTTTTTTAAAAAAAAGTTGCTTTGGCTCAATAATTTTACTACTTGACAGAAATCATCTTCAAAATATGTGTAAAAACATGTCTGGCAGAGTCCTCTGTTCCAGTGTTCCATGTGCAAAGGAGCTTTCTCTGAGCTTTTTGGTCCTTTTTATTCTGCTTTTGAAATTCCAAAATTTTGAAGCCTGTGAAAGTACTAGGTTTATATAGAAGAAAACATTACATCTGCCAACAGTACAATCCCTCTGTTGTCAAGACCTGCCAGACTAGATCATAACAATTTACTCCAGGACAGATGAGATGAGGTGTGTAGGGTCTAGGCAGGAAAGGTGATTGCAAGATTTTTGCTGACCAGTATGACTTCAAACACGACTGGCCTCAGTGGCACAGAACAACCAATCTGATAAGATGGTTTTTTATATGAGGGAAATAAAACACCCCACAGAGGCTATCTCTGCACTGAGCTTCTTGTCAGCCATCTGTGTTGCTTTGCTGTTCAGTTTATCACTGACAAAATGATAGGGCGTTCCTTCTATTTCTCTTGTGTTTCCTAGCAGTCTGCAAGCATCAACATGGAGGTGGGTTTAAATAGATGAATGTTTGCCCTGTGTTTATCATCTTTGGAACATTACTCATGCCTCCCGAAGACAGTTGGAACTTGTGTTTGATGTTGAAAACTAGGTGCAGTTTATTTCAAAAGCCTGCAACCTGGCTTTAAGTGCAAGGATTTCCCAATAATTTTTCCTGATGTGAGAAGCCTGACATAACGCTGTACTTTTTTTGTGTTAAAGCTGTTGGAACTTCCAGTGCTCAAACGGGAAAATCAGAAAACAGTTTGTGCTTGTGCCTTCCTATCACTACTGTCTGCTTTTGTTATTTCCTCCCCCCACCCTGTTTTGTAACTCATTGATCAAAACTATGCAAAGGAGAGTCAGGAAGATGGTCACTAGATGAGATATCCTGATTAGTTTTTACAGTTTGTTAACATTACCTTAACTAATATAAAAACCCCAAAGAATTATTATTTGGCTTTGTGCTGTCATTATTTACTTCTGTCTACTAATTTATTTTTTTTTCCCCAGATTAGGATTTTGTTCTAGAATGCATCATCGCCTTTAGAGCAGTCTAAAGGCACATCTAGGATTACTCAATTTTAGTGTATTTAATATCAGAATGTTTTAGGAGCTGACCTATTCAAAATTTTCAGCAGTGAACAGCTTATGGTTCACTTGGAAGACACTATATCCACAGAAACATAAAATATATATTTTATGTGGTTGCTTTGGCAGTCATTAATTTGCTGTAGTTGCAATGTAAGCAATGTTGGTTTTACTATTCTACTTATAGAACTTTGAGGAGTAGTTTTTCTTGTCTAAAAGTTACCCTTGAATGGTTGAGACAAAATGAAATTTGCATTTGTATAAAGAGGATAATGTGAATTGGGCAAATTACTTTACATTTGCATTTGGAAAATAACATTTCTGAAAAGGCACACATTTCTTTTGTGTCTTCTGGTTTCTTAGCCCATTTACATATAAACAGTGAAACATGATTGTGTTAACAGAATTCTTCTCTCAGAAAAATTTTTTTGTTAATCAGCATAGTGTGCTTGATTTGTTTTTGAGAGCAAAACCTAACCCTCAGACTAATTAATGCGTGAGTCTACAAACCCCCCATAAATTATTTGGGCTCAAAAGGGACGAAGTTAGTTATCTTTTAGCATTGTATTTTTGTTATTAATAGAACTGCATGAATAAGGCTGGTGGAGGTTCTGCTTGTCAGCCTGAACTTGGTGCCTAACAGAACCTCCAGAGTTCTCCATGTACCAGGTGTAATTGAGGAA